CTCTCTCTCTCTCAAAAATAAATACATAAACATTTCAATAAAAAAAATAATAAGTTACTCTCATTTATCATGGCTGGCCTTGAACTCATCTTATTGCCCTGCTACGGGTCCTCATTCAGCATTTCCTAGGACATGACTGGAATTACTACTATCCATCCCGTGTCTGGAAGCTGGAAATTTACAGGGGAAGAAACAACAACAAATGTAAGATGAATTTTATTAAGAGAATATTAAGTTCCAACAAGGAAAGGGAAAAAGAAAGGACGGAGAAAAACAAAACCTAAAATAACCGGGAGCTTTCAGATCTGGCCCTAGAACGAGATTGGCCAGGAGCATCATTCAGGATCGAGGGAGCTCAGGTGTGAATCTAGGGTTCGGGAGGGGCAGAAACCCGAGGGGGAGATGCCATCTGGGATCTTCATCCCCCTCATCTGCCTCACGTGGTCGGGAAGCTTGGGAAGCACAATCCCTCCCTGTGCTCAGAGAAGCTCTCTGCTGGTTTGGAATGGTGCATTGGTCCATGAGCATAAATAAACCAGAACAGATGTTTCAAAATCCGAGACCGAAAAAAGCCCATGATGAGCCAGAAATTCGAGACCGCGCGCAAATAGAAGGTAGCTGATGGTGGATTATGACCAGGACAAGTGTTCTGCAAAGACTCTTGAGAGAGAAATGTCATGCCATGGGGAAAAATTCATCAGAGCTTATTTTTATCTAAATGCGGGAGCAAGTGGCAAGTAAAACAGGCCAGCTCAGCACCAGCAAGTGGCCTAATGAGTAAGTCTCTGCCCCAAAGATATAACTAGTCCAGTAACGTTTATAGACGGCGTAAAAAAAGAAAGATCTTGCTGAATAAAAATTGTTTTTCCAAACCGACATTATTTATTGATCGATTGATTGGTTCGAGAGAGAGAGGGTGCAAGTGAACGAGGGGCAGAGAGAGAGAGAAGGAGGGAGAGAGGGTAGTGGGGCTCACCTGGGGCCCGTGTTTTTACCCAATGCAGGCCTGGAGCTCACCCGATGCAGGGCTCATGCTCAACCGACGACAGGGGACTCGGACTCACCAACTGTGAGTTCATGACCTGAGCTGAAGTCAGATGCTTAACGACTGAGCCACCCAGGCATCCCAAACTGACTTTAATGAGCTAAACTAACTGAGGTGTAGGACATTGTATTGCTTTGCCTGGGTGAAAAAAAATAGAGAAAAAACAAAGGTAGGGGGGAAATGGTCATAAATGCCATTAGTCCTAAAAAAAATTACAAATAGCTCATAAAAATGAGAAGGAAGAAGGGAGCCTTACAGACAAACCAAGAAACAGAGGTATGTCACTTGCAAGGCTTAAAATGAGAAAAAGTTGATGTTGGACTTGGGGGGGGGGGGGAGGCCACACCTGAAGAGGATGCTGGAGGTGGGTGGTTGGATGCTTAATTGAATTTCTTACACTTTGGTTCATCTTGTTATTATGCTAATCTCACACATTCCTGCTGTGTCACAGAATTGTTTTGGACTCCACAAGTTGCTGTAAGCCTTCCGGAAGTTAGGATGGGAGGACGGGTCCTTACACATCTTGATTTTGGACTCCATGCAAAACCACTCTTCAGTTGTGTGAATTAGGAAACTTACAGTCAGGGGCGCCTGGCTGGCTCGGTCGGTGGGGCGTGTGACTCTTGATCTCGGGGTTGTGGGTTCGAGCCCCACATAGGGTGTAGAGTTTACTTAAAAATAAAATCTTAAGGGGCTCCTGGGTGGCTCAGTCGGTTGAGCATTGGACTTCGGCTCAGGTCACGATCTTGCGGTCTGTGGGTTTGAGCCCCGCGTCAGGCTCTGCACTGACAGCTCAGAGCCTGGAGCCTGCTTCGGATTTTGTGTCTCTCTGTCTCTCCTCCTCCCCTGCTCGTGCTCTGACTCTTTCTCTCTCTCTCTCTCTCTCTCTCTGAAAAATAAACATTAAAAAAATTTTTTTTAAATAAAATAAAATCTTAAAAAAAAAGAAACTTACAGACAGATTGTCTAGTGGTGGGCAGTCCTTGAAGCTGAGAATTGACCCCAATTTATCACAGTGCCTGATACTGATGGGTTACAGAACATCAGTGTGTTGATCATTAGATGTTCAAAAACAGAATACTGAAATATTGGGATAAATTAAAATAGTAAATATAACTGCAAAGTTTTCCAATTTTAAAGCTTGATATTGGGGTTTGAGATTATGGGTGCAGGTCAGGAAAGAGGTATAGTTACTGTTCCATTTTCTATTGATAAAGGAAGGGAGAACTGTGTTTTATTACCTTTGTGAGGCATTTGTATATAGCAACCCATGGAATAAAAGAACAGATAGTATGTTTCCAAATAATCATAGTGGAGAAAAAAGGTAAAAGACGTGTGCATTTGTGTGAGCATACGCGTGCACACACAGACCCACAGATACGGTCTATTCAAGAAAAGTAAGTACATTTAAAAAAAAAAAACCAAGAAAAATCATACTATGTAGAAAAAAAGTTAAATGCCTTAAATAAGACCAGACACATTGGTTATCACAATATGTGAATAAGATAAATTCTGTGAAATATCTCTGGTTGTTTAAAAAAAGACAAAGAAAGCTGAATACATAGCTATAAATACAGATACATGGGGTAAATGTAATATAAAGCAAAGCAAGGAAGATCACATTCATATTTAATGAAGTATAACTCAAAGCTATAATTTTCTCTTTT